GGAACTACCCACATTGCTACCAACCTGTATGTGCATGTTTACAGATAAAAGAGATCACAGATTTGCAGGTGCTATAAAACAAGTCAATTTAAATGGGACTGGTGAGTGTAGCTGTATAATGTAGTTTATTAAAAAAAGGAGGATATTTACACTTTTGACACTAACCTGTGAAAAATAATAATATTATATAGATTACACGCCATTACCAGCATGTCTGCTGATAGCAAGTGGCTTGTTTTAGAGTCGTGTTTGTGTCCAGACTGATCTGCCCGTCAGTCATTTCTACGCTCCTTTTCTCTGCTAGAATGACAGGCATGTCATTCTAGCAGACACACCCACCTCCACGCTGTTATAGTTTTTGTGCCTCATTCCTTTTGTTTCCCATTTTACTCTTACTGTTTAAGAATTAGAAACAGGAGAAAGTAATGCCAGTCTTTGGCACTGCTGTGACCTTTGAGTTCTGTGTGGGATCATTAACCAACCTCGAGGTTTCACAGTGTCTAGATAGGATTTACAGCCTGTCAAATACCAGAGTTGTGCGTCATCTGAGTCGCTTGTTTTTTCTTCCTCTGTGAAAACTGGACCTGTTTTAATAAACAAAATCGCTCTTTGTGTGATTTATTATATAAAAACGTGCATTTTACTTACTGTTTATCATGTTTTTGTGCTACTTTCATTGTCTCTTGTGCCTCATAATACAATACAATACAATTTTATTTATATAGCACATTTAAAAGTGCTTCACAGAAACCAAACAAGAGCAATAATAAATACAAGTAAATAAATAATAAAATAAAATAGGTACAAATAAAATATACTAACAGGTGGGAGACTTAACTTAGTACGTAACACAGATCATGCGCATGAAACTTACTGTGGGTTTTCTCAGGATTAGAGGGATGTTTATATTTTCACTTTGCAAAAAATTAAAGATAACATTGAGATAAGCTTTTCTTTCTGTTGAGGGATTAAAGTTTTGAAACTTCAGCAGTTTTTTTGGTTTAGTCAGGCTTGTCTCACACAGGTAAGCGATTGTCTTGCATTTCTGTTTCCCCAGAGCTTGTGAGAAGTTACTTGAGCTTGTTGCTGTCTTTCAGGCATTTAAACAGCTTCACTACATGTGTTTTTCTTCCCTTCTCTGGAATTTCCTTGACCCTTATTTTAACAATAGTAACACTCACCCACTCACCTCCTGTGCCACTGTTTCCTGATAGGACTTACACAGCAGTTTATTATATGAGCCATGCATAAAGGAAACCTGCAGCATTACAACCAAGATTCCCACTGGTAGTGTTTATGTACCTTATATGCTGAAATACTAGTTCATCAGTATAAGCTGTAAATTATGATGTAATCTGTTGACACAACCTTGCAGTAACTTCTTTGTGTATGTGTGCAGTGTTTAATCGTGTGGAGGGGAAAGTATTTTTTTTGCATGAATTATAGAAAAATCCTGCAGAGTTCTTTTGTTTGTAGTCTTGTGTTTGTCTCTTGTAGCAAAAATGAGCGAAATGTTTTAAAACACCTTTCTCTTTAGCACTGTGCAACACAGTATTTGTGAATAAACACCTCTGTGACAGTGGTGAAAGAAGCTGCACCTGTAGTGCTCTGTGCAGGACCTGCTGACTCTCCAATGGCACAGTGCTCTAAACTTCACTTGGTGGGAAATTCCAGCTTGTGATCTTCCCTCGAGCTTGTGTGGAATCTGGCTGAACCACTTTGCTCAGCCACAGTTTGTAGGAAGAAATGATTTCATAAAACAGTCGTTCTCCTTATCTTTGTTTAGTCCAACGTATTTAGTTTTAAAAAGAAATTTCTGAGTTGTTCAGTCCGGAAAGATCATTCAGGCAGGTATTTTTAAATAAATAAATGCAGAGAAATCTTTAAAAAAGTTCTAGAACATAATAAAGTAGCTGTTTTTGCAGCTTTAATGCCATGATTTCCAGTGTTAGCGCCAGTGTTGGTCATCAAATTGGCCAAATTGTTGTGTTTAAATACCCGAGTTTAAAAGTGCAATAAGTAGAATTCAACACGTAAAAATACCTTTTAAGTAAGAACTGGAGCGTTAGTAGTGGAATGTACTTTAAAGTACCGAAAGTATAAAGTACTCATTCTGTAGTAACAGAATGCATAAGCAGGAATAGGAATTGTTTCAGCGGTGGTGCCAGACTCTTTATGTTGATGCTGGCATTCTCACAGATGTACATTGCAAAACCATGACAAGTCACAGGTAGGCCTTAAAAAAACCTGCTAGTACATACTGTGCTCAGAGTCAGGCAATAACATGATCACACTGACAGTAGAAACCTGTGTAGGGTTCTTTTTTCACATAAAAGTCAGTATGAATTATACCTGTGAACTGTAAAAAAAAAGAAAAAAAAAAGAAAAGAAAACTGAACAGTTTGTGTTCGTTGATGAGTCTTTATTAGTTTTATTACTGTTATTTATAAGGTGTTATTAATTTAATTGTTAATACTTAGCCTTGGAAAGGGTGCAACTAGTGATTTGTAACATTAAAAACAGGTCAGACAGCTCAGTCTAGTTTTAGTTTTGAGTTTTAATGCATGAAAAAAAAGTTAAAAGTTAAAACGTAAAACTCGTCACAGTTTTAAGTTTTCCTATTTTTTAAGTCAAAACTTAAATAACGCGAGCATCACCTCCCTGTTTGCTCTTTGGAACTGTAAACAAAGAGCCCCAGCTGTACGTTACTTTTTAGTAAGCAATTTTAAAATTCACCCTCTTCCGTCGTGGTGAAGAGGGAGCTGAGTGTAAAAGCGAAGCTCTCAATTTACCGGTCGATCTACGTCCCTACGCTCACCTATGGCCACGAGCTGTGGGTAGTGACCGAAAGAACGAGATCGCGGATACAAGCGGCGGAAATGAGCGAAGGGTGGCTGGCCTCTCCCTTAGAGATAGGGTGAGAAGTTCGGCCATCCGGGAGGGGCTCAGAGTAGAGCCGCTGCTGCTCCACATCGAAAGGAGCCAGCTGAGGTGGTTCGGGCATCTGACAGGATGCCTCCTGGGCGCCTCCTGGGTGAGGTGTTCCAGGCATGTCCCACCGGGAGGAGGCCCCGGGGCAGACCCAGGACACGCTGGAGAGATTATAGCTCTCGGCTGGCCTGGGAACGCCTTGGTGTTCCCCCGGATAAGCTGGAGGAGGTGGCTGGGGAGAGGGAGGTCTGGGCTTCTCTGCTTGGGCTGCTGCCCCCGCGACCCGGCCCCGGATAAAGCAGATGAAGATGGATGGATAGAATTTTAAAATTGTGAAAAGTTAAAAAACTACAGCTTGACTATTCCTGTAAAATCTGTATCCCTGTGAAAATACCTGCCAAATATTGTATTAGTGAAACATATCTCTACTGTAGTGGACAGAAAGTGAAATTAGATATAAAATCAAAGTGCAGTTACTATGTTAATGACTGGTTGTACATGTACCTAATAGCTCTTGAGCAATAAAATGTTTAAAGATTTAATATGACAGTATTGACTCATTTGGTTCATCTTAGTTTTTTCCCCTCGTGTGTAAACTTGAATGAAATATTAATGTCTCAAATTATGGGCAAAACACAAACATGTCTGAAAAACCATTTAGTGTTTTTTTCCTCTCAGTCACTCTCTGTCTCTCTGTTCCTCTGTAAATAATTATAGCCACTACTTGGGACTTTCCCTCAGCTGCAAAGATTCAGAGATGAGATTGTCTTGTTGTAAGATGTCACTGAAGGTCTGGAGGGTTGAGTTGTGAATAAGTGCTTTTTAACAGCCAGCATTTTGCAATTCTGCAATAAAAACATCTGAGAAAACAGGTCGATATGAGACATTACTTTGTAAACGATGTTGATTTGGAGCACTCGTGTGTCAGCGAACAAGTGTGACTGACAAACGATTGCAGAGCGTGAAGGTGCTCTCTGTGGGAAGAGCACACACAGCTGGTAGCTCAGCTCAGCGTGTTCAGTAACCAGTTACGCAACGATAGCTTGACCCGACTCTGCTGCTACATGCACATAGCTGCAGCTGACACATGTGTTTGTCTTTGATTGAGTGTAGTTTGGAAGTATAGCATGGCAGATTTCAGCCACCTGTTTTTAAATGTCCAATATTGATCAGTACTTTTGGTTCAGGCCTGGATAGGATCTTTATTTGTAGTGAAGGCCAGCAGGTCAGGGAAGCCCCTTCAGCATTTCAACGCAATGGTTCGTCTTCGCATAAAGCCATAAAGACAATTCTGCAGAAGTATTCAAGTGTCCTGCACAGTCTTGACCTTAACCCCATCAGCTTCAGACATGAACTGGAATGCAAACTGCCAGCCAAGCCTTGTCTCCCCACATATTTAAGTAATCCTTATGTAAATAAAGGAGTGCAGCCTCCTGGTAGTTGGCTTTTAACCCTTCCTAGAAAGTCCTCTCAAGAATAGTGGGGTCTTTGAAGCAGCAGTTTTCAATGTGTTTATTTAACCTTTATTTGACCTTAAAAAGGTTTAAGATGTCGTTTAGTGCAGCTGTGATTCGGTCAGGATTTCTTTTCAAGCGTGATCCCTGTTGGCAGGTGTTCAACATTTAGCTGAGAAGAGAATTTACTTAAAGCACAAAATGGCATTCCTTACAGTTATCGGCTGAGAAACAGACAAAAGATGACAGATTCATGTCATCATACTGACTCGTGAAATTCTGAATTGTTTGTGTGACTTATTTCCTGCTGTCACTTCTGGTGATTTTCTTTAAAAATGTTTAAAATACCTTTTTGGAGAGGAAAGCAAGAACCAACAGATTACCTAACAGACTTATTTACTTTACTTCTGATCTGAATGTTATTTATTCATTGATTGATTTGATGTGTGCTGTCCAGATTTGCAGAAATGTCTGCTTTCTCTTGAATACGATGCAGTGTCTGTTTCCGAGAGCCTTTGGCTAACTAACCATGAAAAAAGACTGAAAAAGGACTTAATCGTGTCATTCGGATAAAACGCAGTGCTTATGGATCTGTTTCTGTCCTGGTACTTCTAGGTTGAATTGGAGGTAGAAGAGGAGGAGGAAGATGAGGAGGGGGATGCTGTTGAAGTGGAGGAGGTGGAGATTGTTAATGTCATACAGTCGAAACCACCTCCAGTGATAGAGAAGATCTCAAGGAGGGAGGTGAGGACTGAGTTGAAGGAGATACCAGAGCCAACAAAGCTGGACACGCGTTACTTCGGCGAGCTGCTGGCTGATGTCTACAGGAAGAACTGCGACATCCACTCCTACATCTCCGAGCATGTGTCCAAGATCCGTGGACAGTAAGTAAACTTTAGGCATTTAAGTTCACATCCACATCAGTGTACACACAAGATTAAAATTACTTTATCTATTTGGTGCTAATTTACAAAAACAGCTACCTCAAGATGCTTTATATTGTAAGTTACACACCCCACAAAATTAGAGGGAAAATCTCAACAATCAATACATCCCCTATGAACAAGCACTTGGCAACAATAGGGAGGAAGAACTTCCTCTTAACAGGAAGTAACCTCTGGCAGAACTCGGCTTAGGGAAGGGCAGCTTTGTGCCTCAACTAGTCGATGGGAGTGAAGGAAAAGAAAAGAGAGCATAGGGAGAGGGGACAAAAGCCATTATAAGAGAGAAGACAGTAATAAAACACATGGGGAGTGAATGACGTGAGCACAGAAGAAACCGTTGATGCATCATGGGAAGACCGCCAGCAGCCTGAGCCATAACTAATGAATGTTTCTGGGTCATCTGATCCAGCATTAATGATATGCTTCATTCAGTTCATTTAAAAAACAAAACAAAAAATATACTTTTTAATATTTTTTTACTGTATAATCATAAAAGTAGATAAGATGTCTGTCGTCTGAATTCAAACTTGAAGCTGTTTTCAGAGGAGAGGCTCCGCCTCCCTTTCTAAAACTTTAAGAACCACTGAATAAACAAGTAGCAGATGCCCTGTTTGTGCTGGTGGTTGTGAAATTAAAACGATGCAATCCTTTTATAGCAAAGTAAAGTTTGGTAGTTTTAGCCTGTTGACATATCTTGTTCTTTGTTGCAAAGTTTGATTGCTCAACTTCTGATTGTGTAGGAAGAGTTGGCGGGAAAAGGAACAAATCACAGCAAAAATTACGCGTTGGTCAGTCAATAAAACTTTTCCTCTTCCCTTAAGTGTTGCAGGAGTTCCTGCATTGGAAAAAGGAACAAACACAGACAGATTTCAGGTATGATAGTAAGATATGGTACTAATCCTTTAAGATATAATGGAGCCTGATTATTCAAGACTTTGTAGGTGAGATGAAAGATTTAAAATTCAGTTCTGGAGCCTACTATGGTCTCTCCTTCTAGACTGTGGTTTTTTAAAAAAGCCTGATAATAAGGAATTCCAATTGTCAAGCCCCAATTGTAACAGATGTGTGGACTAGTTTCTTAGCATCACAGGATGTGACAGGATGTTTCTCATTTTAGGAATATTTTTGGCGTGAATATAACTGGGTATCATCTGCATAGCAGTTAAACTATATGCAGTGTTTTGTAATAAAATAGCCCAAGGGAAGAGTCTTCATAATTTGAGGTTAACCCTCTCAGGCTCAAATTAAGTTTTTTGTTGCTAATGCACAACCAAGTCCTGCAGTGGTACTTCTGAGTAAAAAAAAACTCATAAAATATGCATGTGGGGTAATCAGGTTGTTAGTTTTTAACTGTTGCAAATCGGCAACGTCTGCCTTGAGAGGGTTAAATCCAAGCTTACATTTGATTTTTATTTAATTTTAGCATTTTAACCTCTATTCTTATATAAAGTAGATACGAGAACTATTTGAAAAGAATGTGTTTTTGAAAAAAAAACTCACACAGGGTTCTAGCTCCCTGTTTCAACTTCTTGCACTGCTATTTAAGCAGTGATGTGAAATGTGGACATCTATTGTCTGGTTCTCAGACATGCTCTGCAACAGTTTTAGTGCAGAATGCAAAGCTGGCCATGACCTAGTCAAAACACGAAGCTTTTATTTTGTGTGATATGCTTTAAAAAAAAAAAAGAAAAGTTTGAACTGAGAAGTATGGATTTATTTTGAAGAGGAAATTTCAAATATCTTACTCTGGAATAAGTAAAGTACCAGGGGACAAAAGGAAACCCCGGTCCTTATAGCCAGACAAATAACCTTTCGCAAAAGAATCTTCCATTTCTACCAGATTTATAGAGTTTAGCACAACTGAGAAACATCTGTGTCATGCTTTGGTTAAATTACCCAATGCGTCATGCTCCACTACATTAGAGGGAGTCGTCTTTCAAACCATTATGGAGTTGTTCACCTCCACGCTATGATGAAACCTTCCTATCCTGAGGGGAGGGGCCTCCATGATGACTCCAGTCCACACAGACATTAAAAAACTAAAAAACCTGTGGGAGATCTTTTATTGACACCTGCACGATCTGCAACCCCATCGTCAAGCACCAATCATCTAATGGAAGAATTGTTTTCATTCCTCAAGTGAACTTTGAGAGATCAGAACAACGAATGATGATGTGTAATTTTATGTTGGATGTTTCTTTAACATCACACCTTTCTGTCTGTCCACGGAAAGATGAGATGTTATACGCATACATCGTTTTGACTTGGACTGCTGTACACCATTAAGATAAGCTGTGTGAGATTGTCATGGAGACAGACTCTGGGTTTGGCAGCTTGGATTAGTTTCATGTGC